GCGTTCGTTTAGTCGGGAAATTTGCTCTCAGCATTTATTTCATCAGGACTAACGAATGAAAACATTACATAGTTTTGTTACAGTGACAGAATGGTAACATTCCTGAGCTGTGATTCAAATCACGTGACGGATTACTGACTGTTGTCAGTTTTGACTTATATCAGACGATGAATGGTACTCATTGTACGTCTTGATGCTGTCATGCAAACGTATGAAAGGACTGTTTGATTTGTAACTCTAACCCATCAAATTATCCTTGTCAAGTGCTGAAATACTCGTTTGTCTGACGGACGCCGTGTCTTCTATGTCCTCTACTAGTGTTATTGTTGTCATCGTCAACTCAGGTACGTGGGTTATAAACCGAGTACTTGGATTAATGATGCCTTATGCTTTTCGTCATTCGTCAACCGTATGGCATACACTGTCGGAGTATTGGGCATAGGAATAGCTGCCATTTACGGACTTTTTTATTCACTCTATCATTAAACCGTCTGTCTGTCTTACCATTGCAGTTTTTGTCACAATCGTTGCACTTTAGCTTATGAACTACGTTAATGGCTTCATCTACCTTCTTCAAAGCTATGATTCTCCTTGTCATCACATTTGTGTAGTGTATCTTAAACCTGATGTTCGTCAGATATTTGTCAACTTCTCAAAAAAACTCGGGCATCAAGTCGAACGGCAATTACAGCTTTGGTTTCTGATAGTCTGTTTCAGTTAAAGCAGTCGGTAATCTGTTAAGAAAAACGTGATTGAGACATATTCAACGGCGACATTTTTGTTAGCACTTTCGTTCCGCTTCATGCCTGGTTACGTGACGCCTGTTCGATGATTAGTGAGTGTTCTTCCACAGGTCCAAACTTTTAACGTCTAGAGATTATTAATCTAGGTACTCGGTCTTTGAGCCTCATATCTCAGACGGCAATGATAGCAACAACTGAGTAACTGCACAATATCACACATCATTATTTTAATAAGATTTTGTTATTGTGCCAAAAACGTAGACTTCAATTTTTCAATCTGCAAATGCCTCAGTTATTGGTCAGACATTTTCATTTGTTTCACGTCTCGATATGTTAACCATGCATTATGAAACAGTCTGTTGATGAATTATAAACCCAGAATCTGAATGCTTTCAAGAAAACTTATAAAACACAAATGTCTTGGTGTAATTAATATGTAATAAAATGTATTCATCGGTTCTAGACACAACGACACAGACAGATGGTAGTCTTTGTTATAGCTGCCGATGTTTCTGGCAAACTAAAGTGGTCATTCTCTAGGCAAACAAATATGGTATCCGTTGCGGATTGGCAGAAACGTCAGCCCCTGTAACGATGACAACTTACCGTCTGTTCAGACATCTTCATTGTGTCAAACCCACTGCCACTAAAATGGCGGCTTATTGCAGAAGAAGTGGAAGACGCAAAATTTTTAATTAGTTTCAGAAATCATAATTAATGTTTATGAACTTTAATTTAAAACCATGTCTGGATCACCTGAAAACTTCATTCGGTAGTATACCTCATACCGTTGAAAAGTACTACCGGAACTTATAAATTGAATCTTTTCTAGCTTTTTGCCATTCTTACTTTCCCCTCCCCCTGAACAACTGATTGAAAATAGCAACAACTTAGACAGTGTTGAGCGTTGTCACCCTCGTGACTAATGTCAAGCGATCACTCGAGACAGTGTTCTTACAGGAAGTAATGTTGTACCTCAGAATCTGACCCAATTTTCACGTGTCGCTAGCTGCGATGTTTGCATGGCTGTCGAGCGCTTAACTGTTGCCCTTTTGGCAGAGCATACACCGGTAAATTAACAATTTTACAATCGACCTTTACCCGAGGTAAATATATCACTTCGCCTCTGTTTACCCAGCTTATTTACTCGCAGTATTTGATTAGTCACATGTTTCTTTGTAGTCGTTTGCGCCGTAAGGAGATGCATACACAGAATATCTCTACAGCGCATTTATTTGCCTAGAGTAAAGCTATTCCCTTCGTATACAAATAAGTAAATTCAACGAACGTGTCATTTTGTCGGCGTTCCTCGTTTTCGTGTTTTTCTATAACCCATTTTTATTAGTTGCGTCTGTTCGTCTGGTTTGTTATTTTTGCTTCACACTTTAGTGTAATCTTTTATTTCACTTTAATTTTGTAATTTTTTAAGCGAACAGCTATTAATTAAAAAAATAGGATGACAGCAGCGCTATTTCAATTTCTGTAAAATAGGTTTGCTTGGCTGTCATGCCGTATGCTGATTACCTTGAGGGTTTGAGGGTCACGAACTGCGAAACGATGAGGTCACTGATCAAGGCAACGTGGCTGCCGAATGCCGAGATAGGAAAGAAGTCCCACACTACAAGACTAGACAAGCAGATGGAAAAGCAGTTATTACAACTTGTTCACAGATGAGAGGCCTCGTGTTTATCCGACGTACAGAAAACATGCTATGCAAAAGAAGAGTAGGATCTGCTGTCCAAGTTGTATACTTTCTAATAGCGGAGGAGTGTACGGTGTTTTCCTTAGCCTGTTTATCGTTCAGCATAAACTCTGAAGCAGTCGACTTGCGAAATGTTATTTATCAGAGATTCAAATATCTTCATGGCTTTAAAACTGGTCAGTTTAAGGGATATTTTGACTGTAAGCCCGGAGATAGTGCGTCACTCTTCATCCGTAATAATGTACAAAGAAAACAAATAACAGACGCAACGGATGAAAGCGAGCGAGCAGCATAGGCTGTAATTTCATGAATATTTCTGTTTATTTGTGCCTACTGATGGAAGTATATAATCTGGCGATTGGCCCTACACTATGATGCGTGACATAATGCGGTGGAATGGTCTGCCTTAGAACCCTTAGGCTTCATTGATGCACTGCGACGAAGCGACAAGCGGCTGATCAACAGCGTGATTTGTGTTATACCAAGTAAATGCGGGAAAGATCTAAAAATTCATGGTTGGAGAGTACATCAGGGACGAACTGACTATAGCGGAGCTGGGACGCACTTCTGTGCAAACTGCAGTCCAGTCATCGGCCCAAGGATTAGCTTGCAGTTATATCCAAAATCATATGACAAGGTGTTCATGGAAATGTCGACATCTAGTGAGTCAAGCTGCTAGAAGCAAGGACATGGCGTGTTTTCTAGGAGAGAATTCACAAAGACAATAAGCGGTGGTATCGAAAGTTAAATTTTGCTGTTGCAGCTAAACCGGAGTATCGTACACATACTTTTCTGTATATCGGTAATCAGTAATATGCTTATACACGAGTAGCATACTATT